TTGGCGCCATTCTTTTTTCACCTGTCGTTGTTCCTCGATCCGATAATATGAATGAGTCTAAAATCTACTCTTCACTGCACGGAGCAGCGCCCAAAGAATCTAGGGTCAGTAAGTCAGAGGCTTCATTTATTAACGTCTTTATATCCTGAGGGTAGTTTTTCATTGTTTGGAATGTAGTCTTGAAATTCATGTCCTTTTCTACAAAACACAACCATATTTATTTAGACATGGTTTTGTAATCCAATTGGACCCCTGTCTTTTACTTTGCAGCCACTTTTGGCTTGATTTTCCTTTGGGTACGTAAATTTTAATTTGTGTAACTTCTCATTGCTTCAGACTCTCGAAGGGTTGAACTCGGGATGGAGAGGTCCTGGCTTATCCCAGTACGCTTCAATACCTCCCATTGGACTTAGACTGAATCGAAAGCAAATTCGCTATCTTCCCATGAGTGGAAAGCCTTTCCAATCTAAGAATGTCAACTTAAACAAATCTCTTGGTAATCTCGCCTCAATCTACTGCGACCCTTCGAATCTAGCCGGAAGTACACTAAGCCTACCGACAACCAGCTTTATTGATCCCATGCATAAAAATACACCATCTCAACGCCTGACTAAAATGTGTCAGGGTTTTGTGAATTATGATTTGACACTCGCCTGCCTAACATCTATCGATATTACAAAGCCACTGGATGAGGCCGCCTTCATTACAGTCGGGAGAATTTTGCTGAATGCTGGTGCTAATATGGTTGCAACTTGCCTGGCCATTGAAACGGCATCCATTCTTACACTCAATTGGTTGCCCACTTCTGAAGATGGCATTTTACTCCCTTCTGATGGTTATTCACTTTTACTCTGGCCTGCTGCTAATGGGTACCGCAAAGATCTCTTTAACAGGTGAGGTTTATCTGCGAATACGCAACCTTATGAGTACTTTATGCAAAGTAGATGCAAATCATTTTGTTTTTACATTAGGGCTGTGAATGAATTAGTTCAAGTTACATATACCCTTGCAGGGACCGTTTCCTTTCACTGTTTCTTACTGCTTCAATTGTCATTCCAAAGGACGTCGATATAAAGGCTGCAATGCTTTCTTTATGGACGGATGTTATTGAGAAATTAGTAATACATCACAAGGACTACTTTACAGCAAATGCTCTCGCAAACGGAATGTGCGCTGATCAGGTGCGTTCCTTTCCATCCTCAAGATTTGTTTTTTCAACCTCCTGCAATTTCTTCTTAGTCGTTTTTTGGTGAACAAGATCTCTCCACATCTAGGCACCATTACTACTGTAACACGCGTTTTGCTTTTCGCGCGCGACATTAATGATCTTCACCTTTGTGCAATAATGTCAATGCAAGTTGGCACACGAACATGGGAGTACAGTGGACTAGGTGCAAGCATTCATTCCACAGCAACTGGTGAAGTACATTTTAATGCAAAATAGTCTAAAAATGTGGAGCTAATTTTTGTACGTTTGGGGTTAAATAAGGTAATTCGCTCAGTTAGATTTGCTAGTAGTTGCAAACGCATCCAATTTGAGGGACTCTAATTGACCAAACGGTGCTCCACGCGGGTGTGTGCCACTCACCTTGGCTGCGGAGGCATGATGCGCGTGATTGGATTTTTACTAACTAATATGTCGTTGAAACCAATCTGAAAATAGTGGATTGGAAACTGCATTTTTTTGGCGTTCTCTGCCCCACTTTTTTTTCTATACGTTGCAACATCTAATCAGTATCTTAAAAGTTGCAGCATAGCAAGATCTGCCGACAGAATTGAAACATTCCAGAGCGGCCTGAATTTTTTGTCATAGGCAATAAAATGTTTAGCCCTGATAAATCTTTTTGACGGTACAAAGCCCAAGAGAAGTGTGGTAATAACTTGTAGTTGAGTTGTTATAAGATGCCACTGGATGGTAAGCAGTATGGATTCGTAGACCGTCA